ATATTTTATAAGAAATTGTTTAACCTTTAATAACACTAGTTTACAGCCATTTTGCCCACCATGTCTCACTATGATTTTCTTGTGTAGTTTGGCTCACTAGTGCACTAAACGCGAAAATCACAATTACATTTTTTCATGTTTTGACGTTTTAGAGAGCCCTCTACAACTTTCTCTCGTATAGTTTTGGTATCGGCTCAGTAGTTAGATACTGACGATTTTATGTTTAAGTTGAAAAAGTCCTTTTTTATTAAAATCAAGGTCGAAAATTTACATATCTTTCTGGGAAAGATAGAAATCGAAAAGATAAGTCCAGTTTAATTTATTTTACGTATAGATTATACTTAAAAAAAAATAAGCTGCTGTGTATAAAAATCCATGGATAAATGGCGAAGTTATGAATTTTTCAGTGGAGGACCAAAATTCAGTTTTTCGGGAATTTTAACGTTTTTTCTTCATTTTATTGAATTATATAAAATTTAATATTGAACATTGATTTTAATTTTAAACATTAAATATAAAAATTAAATTATATATTGAATATTAAACAATAAATATTGAACTTTAAAGAAATTAAAAGTTTTATTTTGTTGTAATAATAGGTTTAAAAAAATTCTGGCTCCTTCTTTGTTTTTTGTTGCTTCCGTATTCCGTTTCTCGTATGAGGGGCCAAATGTAATCACCCATCATGGCTGCATCTCAGAAGCCGTGATATCGCCGTTCCATAGCGTTCATTTGCTGGTGAAAACGTTCTCCGTGCTCATCACTTACGTCGCGACGCGTCGCCCAGATTGTGCGGGTTATTTACGCACTTGAACTCTATTTCTTTTACTTATTTTACACTTTTTATTAACTAAATAAAACCATGATAAAAACACCTTGTTGAAATATCAAAAAAATATCAGTAAAATGTCACTATGCCAACACGAGAAACAAAAGAATTCACGTTTGCGGAGTCATGTCAAATTTAAATTTTGAATAACGTTTTCGGTGAAAAAAGTACGTAAAAAACTCAAAAAATTTCATTTATGAACTTTATTTAAGTTTTCATTAAAGAGTAAACATATTACAAAATAAAATAAAAAAAATAAAAGAAAAATCGTCAAAAAGCTGAATTTTGGTCTTCCACTAAAAATTTCGCCATTTTTCCATGTATTTTTTTCAACATTGGCTTCTTTTTTTTGAAAAATGTCAGCTTCACGAAAAAAAATTCAAACTGGAGTTAAGCTTAATTTTCATGTATCCGTTTGTCCGTCATCCATATGTCAGTTTTTCAATAAAATCGTCCGATAAGAAATGTTCTAATTTTCATGCATACGTTTTTAAATGACGTTTAACGGATTGATTTTGCGACAAATAGAAATTAAGTGTCAGTATATTCACTTACTAAATTTACCTAATGCTTAATTGTCATAGTTACAATTATGTCAACAATTGTAACTTTAACAGTTAGCTGTCTAATAAATTTAAAGGTGGGTAAATATACCTTATAAAAAGAATATACTAGCCCTAATATACATTAAAATGTATAGTTTTAAAAAAGCAGGTCCTTTTAGTTCTAGTTTTAATTTTTTTTTGTTTGTCCTTTCTTTTTTTTTCGTTATTCTTATTAAATAAAAACTTAACAGTAAAAAATTATTCACATAACGAACGTAATATTTCCGTTTTACAATCTTATTGAAAAAATATAAAAATATTTGAAAATAAATTATCTTAAAATAACGTTAGGCGTCAAAAACAGATGTGTAGTGACGGATAAGTTAAAATTATTTAACCTTTCTCTGTCAGACGTACGAAGTTGAAACTTAACGGACCGATAAAATGTCATAATTTTCGAATTATAATTGGACCAATAAGAGCGCTCCCGGATGAACGGACTGACGGACAAACGGATACATGAAAATTAAGCTTTATCCGTTTGATTTAAACCTTTTCGGCCTCAATTTTTGCCATAAAAACTAATTTTTTAAGTTATTAAAATCGCTAGCGTCAAAAAACCTATCCGATATCAAAAGTATGTAAAAGAAAGTTTTAGAGGGCTCAAATACCTTCAATTTAAAGGGTTGTTTGGCCAAATCGATCAATTAGATTTCAAGCTATACTTAAAAACGTCAAAACACAAAAAACAATTGAAAATTCATATTTCAAAAACACTTCCATAAAAAGAATTTTTTTTCGATTTTGCAACTTTTTTTTTGTTTTTTTATTTTTTTTTTAACCGCTGCAATAATTTAAAATAAAGTATACAGGGTGTTTCAAATTTTAAAAGCCTTTCTAATCCAGCTAAATCCATTTTTCTTTAAGATTTTTCAAAATACCACCGGTTAAATCGGAAAAGACATAAAAAAATTACCTGAGAATTTGAAAAGTTAATAACTTTTTTTTTAAATGTATCACCCGGTATATTTTTAGATAATCAAATATTACATTAAAAAACCTTTTGATTGATGTAACTTTTCCCTATACTTTAAGTTAATAATTTAAAAGATATTTAAAAAATTCTAAAATTTTAAATATTATTTTGTATCAAGAAACCTGTGACGGGTGAGTTGACGGTATCTATGGTTACCACGTAATCTGTCATTGTTCAAAATTTAATGACCTCAATTTTTTATGTTGTTATAAGCAATTTTAATGATAAAAATATGAGTCAGTGACTTATAAAAAAAATAGACAAGCCAACATTTTTAAATTTTAAATGTAATACAAACAGTATTTGCAAATTTAAAAAAAAATCAACAACGATGTAAGATGTCAACTAGATGAAGCACTAGCTCATTGGAAACGATAAAATAAAAAATTTAATTTATGAAATATTTTAATAACCAAAAGAATGCGTAACTGTAACAATTTAATAAACCCCAGAAAATTCTAATGGACCACGAATGTGAAACACCCTATCTGCTCTAATCCTGTAGCTTTTACACCTTTGAAAAAAATAATTCAGTCCAATTTGAGCTAGCTAAGAGCTCTTAACAATAATTTTAAGAACTGGAACAACTTTGTTAAAGTTTTTCCATTAAAAAAGCATGTAGGGAAATCTTGCTTTTTTATGTTTGCTTAAACAAAACAGCCCCACATTAAAGTACCTATTCTTTTAACTTGTAAACCGTTTACTTTAGAGAAAATTGTAAATAAATTTTTTGTAGGAAATTTAAAAAAAAAGTATGAAACTAATGTTTTAGGAGGTATACTGCCCTACTATGGAGAAAGGCAGTAACTGCAAAAAAATGCAAAATGCGTTTTCTTGTGCTATAGTAAAGCTATGGACATTTTGTAACCGAATTCAACACAGAAATGCAGTCAAATATCTCATAAGTTAAACAAAATCAATTAAATACCTACTGCTTTTTATAAAAATGTAGTTTATGCTAATTTTCCACAAATTTCTTGTTTAGCAGTTACTGCCTTTCTCCATAGTAGGGCAGTATACCTCAAATATCTCGTACAAGTATATTTTAAGTCATCAAAATTTAAAATTTTGGCAAAAATTATTTTGATTGAGTATTTAAAAATTTAACAAATTTTATTGTTTCTGGCAACTAAAAAACACAATAAGTTATAAATCATTATTAATATAAATAATATGTAGTAACCTATTTTAAAGATTTGACACATGACGTATTTTGTGTATCAAGGCAGTAAAGTCGTATTTTTTCACAAGTGTGGAAATTATTTGTCAAGGCGAAAGTGATAAAAAATGACATTTAATAATAATAATAATTAATATTGATGATTAAATCAAATGTCATTTGATGATCAAATCATATTAGTGGAAGATAATGTCGATGCCTGCCATACGTTTCCATACTCACTCATACTCTTACTCAAATCAAATGTCATTTGAATGTAGGAAGTGTCTACGTATACTGTTAGTTGCGACGGTTATTATATCGCCGCGGCGATTTTTTTAATGTATTTAATAAAATTAACTATTTTTATTAAAAAACATTTTATGAACGGGCCCAATCGACCTACGCGACGATGCTTTTTTTTAAATATTATTTAGTTGCTGCTGAGGGGCAGTAGACACATCTTAAAATGTATAATGGGTTGCATACAATACTCGTATTAAATCGGGAGTAAAGTTCTACTTTACTGCCGATTTCTTACTCCTATTGCATAATTTTGGTGTTTTTCCGTGAATATTGTTAAGCATTATAAATTTCCTGCCTAACAACGTGAATAATAAACTCAGTATTCACGTTGTTAGGCATCAGGCCGATTTCAGTATTCACTGTGATTTAAACCAATCGAGTTTTAAATTGGAAGAAGGCGACTACAATAACATTTAAAACTGGTAAAAAGTAAGGTTAACCATTTGACATATGTCAGATTTTATTTATTTAATTTTAAAAATTATTTAATTATCTACTTATTGGAGTAGATAAAGTATAGTATTACACTCGAGATTATGCGCAATATTCACTCGGATGATTTAGGTCTCTCGTCTAGCGACTCGAGACGTAAACCTCATCCTCGTGAATATTAGCCTGCATTATCTCTCGTATAATATACTATTAGTACTTATTTTTTCAAGTCAACAGTAAACAAGTTTTTGATTATTTTTTAATTTATATTTTACTGCTAAATTAAATTTGTTTGTATAAAAGAAAATTTGAAAAAAACATACAATGTGGAAAAACTATTTAAAAAACCTGAAAAAAAACTAAAAAAGGGATATTTTTTCACGTTACATCTCCAAATGCACTGATATTAGATATTTAATATATTTGTAAGAGATACGTAAAGGTGAAAATTCTTTTACGGAGAAAAACCAGATCCATTTAGTTAATGAATTGGTCTAGACTAGATAATCAATACATTTCCATATGGTTTTGTAAAATGAACCTTTTTTGGCATTTTAAATTTTATCGTAAAATGTACTAAATTTAATATCATCAAAATTATTAAAATTGTTTTAAAATCAATTTGTTTTTCTGCAAATTTTGGAATAATTTATTACTAAACCAGAAAATATTTTAATGAAACATTGTTATTATCTTGAATACATTTTTATTATAGTTACAATGGACATATTGAACAAATTTGCATTTTGTTTAAAAAAAATAGTGGCATACTGATTTAATTTTTACATTTTATTAAATAAATTTTTGGTTTTCTTGCCCTGTTAATTATAACATTTTTAACTTCATTGTAAAGTGATCGAGTTTCACCATCTTCGGATATAATAAGTGTGTTTTTGAGGCGATCTACAACACTTGTATTGTTTTCTTGCTTTGGTAAATCTTTATTTTCGGGTTTCTCTTTGGTTTCTAAAGATTTTCTATTAATAAAAGTGTTTAACTTTTTAAGAGTACTTACCCAATAAAAATGCCCCTAAAATATTCTGCATAGTATTTGTCTCATAGGGTATTATGTGTTCTATAACATAAAATATATTATTATAATTTTTTTAAAATATTGCTTATTCGAGGTGTGTTCAGAAAATAACGGGAATTGTTAAATTTCGCGGGTTCGGAGGGTCCGGTTGTCATAAAATTTTCTTTATTATGTTGGTATACATGCCCCCGAAGTATGATAAAAACTTTAGCTGTTTTATTGTTTACTTTGTCTGTGGCAGCCGCTAAGGTTAGACGTGTTTTATGAGCTCGGCGATTTTTCGTTCGTTAAAAGAAATGGATTAAAGAATTTGTATCCAATTTTGCTTAAAAAATGAAATAAATTCTGTGAAATGTTAACAAAGGCCTATAGTGAGTCTGCTATAAGTAAAACAAGAGTTTACAAGTGGTATAAGAGCTTCCAAGATGGCCGTGAAGACGTTGAAGATGACGAACGCCCCGAACGCACAAGCACATTAACAACCGATAAAAACATGGAAAAAGTGGAAGAAATGGTTATAAACCATCAGAGAAGTCGCTGATGATGTTGGTATATCAATTGGCTCATCCCATGAAATTTTTTCGAATGTTTTGGGTATGAAACGCGTGGCAGAAAAATTTGTTCTAAAATTGTTAAATTTTGAAGAAAATTTTTGGCCAAAAACAATGCTGTAATGATGCCCCAGCCTCCATATTCGCCAGACATGCACTGTCTGACTTTTTCCTATTCCCAAAAATAAAGAGAACCTTAAAGGGCCTTTTTTGCAAGCATAGATGACATTAAAAGCGCATCGCTGAAAAAACTAAAGGGTATCCTACAGATCGAGTTTTAGAAGTTTTTCGAATATTGGAAGAAGAGCTGGCACATGTGCATAATATCCAATGGGGACTATTTTGAAGGCGACAACATTAATGTAGACGAATAAATAAACGAAAATTCCCGATATTTTCTGACCACACCTCGTATACCTACCTTCATCATTATTGATAACTTTATTTATGGCATCAATGATATTTAAGTTGTTGCCCTCTGGGAATGTTACGTATTTGTTCTTTAAATCATTTAGGATTAACTGTAATGCATCCACATCAAGATCCGCCACCTCGTCAATGTTACACTCCCTTAAAAGCATTTCCGGTTTGGAATCATCAATGCGCAAAATTTGGTTGGCCAAATCTCTCAGAGAAACGCTAACTTTTTTGAGCATTTGAACAGCAGTGCTTTCCTCCATTCTCTCTAGAAGTGAGGTGCTTTTTTCTTTTAAATCCTCGACCTTTTCAAGCCTTATGGGGTCGGTAGTCTCAACTTCAGGCAATTTTGCAATTTCTTGGATGATTTTGCTTTTTGTCTCTATCTCTTTAGCAATGTGTTGCCTCTGCAGCTTGTTAAACAGATCTTTATCGGATAAAACAACTTTGTTTTGCGCACTGGGCTTGCTGAATTTATTTTCATCCACATCTGGAGTCTCATACTCAGGCTTTTTAAGAGCTGAAGATTTTACTTGTACAAACAAATCCCTATTGCCTTTTATTTCTCTTTCATTTTCCTCAAAGTATGGATCGTGGACTCGATCTGAAAAAACTCTTAATTTTGCTCAACGAAAGAGGCCAGAATCGGCTTGGTTTACCTACTTTTTGTTAGGTAGCTAAATAATTGATAAAAAAAATGATACATAATTGCGAAAATAAAAAAAAAATAGGAAACTGTTCATCAATAAAGGGGATGATACTCGTAGTACAGGCCAAAATAGAAATTTTATAAGTAAAGTAGAAATTTTGGGCCGCCACTGGTTATATGACAACTGACGCAAAATATGCTTGCACAGTGGGCAACTATCTACATTCATTAAACATTTACATTTGTGTCATCATTGATTACTTTGTTGATAATTGTTTTTGTTTTGCATACTCAGCTATTTTTAGGTACTTTGAATAAAACATTTATTGTTAGGTATCTCGAGGTTTCCGTGGTTTTCCCTTCGATTTTAAAACTTCTTACTTCTCAACGTTCTATCATATCCGGATGATTTCGGATTTCATCTGCTGCTGCAGTGACAAGTTCGCGGAGTTGTTCTAATGTGTCAAGTTCGCTCTGGAACACTAAACAGTTCATTTAGCCCCAGAGAAACCACAATAACAACCGAACTGTCAGTTATCAATGATAACAAAGTACCTACTAACAGAATTTGAATAAGTTTAAAAGTTTGCTTGATATTACATAACACTATGCGCATACCTGTTTATTTCTTGCTTTTTTTTGTATATCCCCTGGTTTTGTCGTATATAATATCACAAGAGAACAAATTTTGCCGGCAAAATTTTCGACTGGTATGAAAGTTTGTTGCTTGGCAATTTTCTAGAATGAAATTTTGACAAATTTTCATGAGCGAAAATTACCAAAAAGCAACAAACTTGAATGAAACCAGAAGAAAATTTTGCTCTCGAGTGATATTCGACAAGACTATTTCACGAGAAAAAACAAGACAATTAATGCACCATATTAACGAAACATGTAATCTTAATTTATTTGTTAATATTAAATGTACAATTATTATATGTTATGGTAGTTTGCCCATTCTTTTCTACCAAAGCACGATTTTGTGTATTATTGACCTGTAGCATGTGGGAACTCGGTCCAGCTTTATTTGTTCGGAGATTTTCGATAGTGGTGACTAGAATCCAGCTGCAGGTATGGTTTTAGGGAGCTTGCATTTGAGTGACCCGTTAATTTAATTAACTCCTGTTCAGCAACACCTTGCTTAAACAAGGCTGACACAGCTGAAGATCGATGCGAATGGTTTGTTATTTTATGTTTTTTTGTGTCTATTCCAATTTTTTCAGCTGACGTCTTTGTCCACTTAGATACGATGTTAATTCCAAGTGGACAGTTTTTGAACCAAGATCCATTCTTCCAGTTGGGGTGAACGGTAAGAAAAAGTCTGTCTGATAAAATATTTGGTCCTCTTTTTTCCATTAATTTCAAGAATAATCTAACTGGGCATAAATCTTCGTTTGATAAATTTCTTACCAACCATTTGCTGCTTGCCAAACTTTTCGATCCGCCTTGAGTTGTTTTCGAAAAAAATGCTGTTGTATTCAATTCGGCCCGTAAATTCTCCCATATTATTAAATTCCTTCTGGAAAAAGTAAATCTTACAGTTTACGGCCTCATTGCCTCTCCAAGCAAGTTCATATGAGCAGAGGTGAAAAAACTTTTTGTGCTCCATCGGGGGTTTCTTCGTCGTAGCTTTGGATCATTTTTAAAAGTTCTTCGGTGGATAATGCTTTTGAACTAAGTTTTCTTTTTTCTGGACAACTTTGAAGCTGCCTTCGCTTGGTATCTCTGGCCAATCTTGACCATTTGAGAGATATATCCGTGAAAGGATCGATTTTTATGCCGTATTCCGTAAAATATTTTTCTTGTACCATTTTTGCAGTTGAATTCCGCATAGACTTTACAGACGACTCTTTATAGTCTTCGCCATTGCATTTTTTCATATTAAAGGCGTAATCTTCCAGAATTTTTGCTAGTTCCGTCGCGGTAGTACATTTTTCCACACAGAAAAAACGCTAGCATAGCATGAATGGGTGCCAATAACAGTTCCTATAATACCAATAGGTAGTTAGCACTTGGTTTATAATCGTTTACTGTTTTTAAATTAACACCAAAAGATATCGCTCATAAATCTATTGATATTCATATTGATATTTATTTATTAGAATGGTAGAATGTTATTGCATTAAATACTAATTTGATTTATTTAATAACGTTACTATTGTATGTATACTATGTTTACATTTAACGCAATAAATTCTTTGACATTTAGGCAAAATATTTCCCTATTTTGGTTTAATAGTAATTAATTGAGCAAATAACAATTTATATTGCTTCAATTTTAATGCATTCAATGACAGCGCTGTTCTTGGTACTATGTTAGATTTTTTTCTGTGCAGTGTAAAATTTCTCACCCGTAGGAATTCTGAGAATTGGGTCCAAATAGAGCTTCTGGACCTCTGAGTATTTAATGGGATATTTTCTGAAACCAATTTTTTTATTTGTTCATCTGAATGGCACCCAAATCGTGAATTTGCGCGTGGATTCATTATTTCACAATGACGTTTGTCAAACTGGCAACAATAGAAGTATAAAACACCTTGGTGACGGATTTGTAATAATATCAAAACAACTTTAATTTTATTGTTTGTCAAACTGACAACAATAGAAGTACCAAACCATAATTTTGTCACTGAGAAATCACGGGCAGGAGTTTTGTCAGTAGAACACGTGCCGTTACTATGACATTTTATTACTTAAAAATAGTCTAGTGAAATAGTCATTAAAAAACAGTAGCTCTGATGTAAAAATAATAGAGGAAAAACTTTCTTGTTTTGGCTTGTACTATTATCCCCCCCCCAAAGGATGACAATTTGTGTATTTACTCACATTTAAAAGGACTAATAAACTTTGAGAAATCATTTACAGATTGAGATTTTTCGATTTGCTTGATAGCGTACACTTCCGCTTTATCAATCACTGTATTTTTGGTTGCGTTATTTAAAGTATTTTTATCCACTGACGAAGTAGTTGTGCTGTATTTTCTGTTTTGAATGTCCACACCTTAAAAAGCATTTTAATATGTTTATTTCAATGTATTATAATAGAAGTACTTACAAGATATCAGTTTTTTAAATGCTTTTTCTTTGGCAGTTTGATCTGAGAATCGCTTGTACGCAGAATCCATACAGCCACTTATGGTGTTTAATAATTTTTTATCTTCGATATCAACTTTGGATTTAACATCTTTTAAAAATTCTTTCTTATATAATTCAATAAAAGTCTCAGCTAGAACAATTCAAATAAACCAATAATTATAACAAATAAATTTTTTACTAACTATTTCTCTCCAAAGGCTCTTCTGATATATCTACAAAAAGTTTAAGAGATTTGTAAACTATACAAACTATAAAAACGAACCTGTTTTACTAAATGGAATTTTAAACATGCCAGAAAACACTTTAAGCACTAAAATATTAAAATATTAGATCACTAGAATTACTAAAACTAAAAGCTCGTACCGTCTATGTTTGAAATTTTCTCGAAAACTAAAACATGACAAGATTGGATTAATTTTCCAGTAAGGGGGGCGTTTCACAAATTTTACAGTAATATATTACTAGTTAAATTACAAGAAATTTTGTTCAGATATGTATGTCTTGTAAAATGTTTATTTTATACTTTATTTATTTTGCTAACGTCAAATCTGTCAAAGTCATTTTTTTCCAGGCTTTAAATTTATTTAAAACAATTAAATTTTTTAAAGGAATGTTTTGGGATTAATTTAAATAATTACACTATGATAGTTTGAATTACTAACATTGAGTACTCCCACCTATATTTCCTAATTTTGGGCTGCTGATTTCAAATATGCCACTTGTTTTGCTCAGGACGTCTAGGATTTAAAATAATTGCGTAATAAAATGCTCTGCCCATTTATATTAAAATGTGAGCTTTTCGTTAAAATTTTGATTATTAAATTATTTTGCCTTAAATCTATTTTGGATGTTCAGTATATTTTTGACGATTTTTGTCAAAAATATACAGGGACTCCATACAAAATCATCGGTAGATAAATGTCAAATATAATTTTTTTTTGTTTCATTGTAGCCCTATACTATAGTAGTATTATAAAAGGGATATTTAATAAAGAACCTTTTTGCAGAGAAGTGCTTTATTAAATACCAAAACTTAAATTATAATTTTTTTTTGGTAAAAATTATTATATTTTGAAATGTTTTTTTAATTACTAATTAAATTGAAAAGGCAACAAAATAAATGGGTTTCGGTATAAACATTACTCTTCGACTATTATTTGATATTTTTTTATTCACATCATGCCTAAAGTACCCAAAAATTCAATCTCCAATCTTATTTATTAAGTCTTATCAAAATTTAATATCAAATTAAAGTATAAAGGCGCCTTTATCTAATTTATCGTTCAAACACATTAAAGTGCATCTATTGATTTTTGATATTTAAAAATCAAACTTTAAATTGTATTTTTACTTGAAAGTGATTTTAAGAACCAAAAATAAAAAAAAGGAAATGGAAGTGGTAATGTAATTGGCAGAAAAAGAGAAAGGAGACGAACCTTTATGTCGTCGTTGTAAATTTGTTTTGTTTTTGTTGCGGTATCTACCTTTACGCCCAAGAAAAACCAACGCAATATTTAATTACAAAATTTTATTTGATATAGGTACCTACTACTCAGGGCCGGCGTTAGCTTATTAGAGGCCAGGTGCAAAAGAAAAATGCGGGGCTTGAACTAAAAATTAATAAACCAATAAAACCAATAAAACATCAAACGAAAAACCAATTGAAGGGATTAGAGCTAAACCCGCATTTTTAAGTCAAAATTTTTTAAGCGTGTTACCGGATAGTAGAAAATTTTGACTTAAAAATGCACTTGGGTGGTTCAGCTTTTCCCTTCAATTAATATAGAAATTAACGTTTAAGAAAAAATCACACATATCTTTTTCCTGCTTTAGCGGAAGCTCTTTTCCACCATCCTCTATTGACAATATAGCCAAACCCACTAGTCGTTCTTGGCACATACCTTCTTGATCTTAAATATTTATTTATTAATTTTAATTTTGAAAAACTCTTTTCTCGGCGTAATAATATCGGATACAGGCAACTTCAAATACACATTTAGCAACATTGAACTGAATGATAATAGATGACGATACTTACTAAAGATATTATCTCTGGCAATGACCAGATATTATTTTGTCACGCTGTGCTTACAGCTTGCCATGTTGCTATAATGTACAATAATTTCGTTAAGACGCCTTGATGCGCGCGGGGCCTATAAAACGCGGGGCCGGGTGCAACCGCACCGTTTGCACATGCCTCACGCCGGCACTGCTACTACTTTAATTTTGCAGAAATATTAAATGGACCTGATCTACGACGGCAGTGTTAAGGCTCTCATTAAAAATGTTTTTGATTCATATCGGGCCTAAAATTGGCGCCAATTTATTGAAAAAATGCTCTCCGTTTTGTAAAGAATTAGCGTTTATATGTCATTTAAAATACATTTTCTTTTTTTTTCATCCTGATAAATTTGCCTAACTGATAAGCATGGAGAACGATTTCACCAAGTAACTGCAAATCTAGATCATTGGTATACCAATGCTATATCTATAGATATCTATGGGTATTGCTAGGAGACATTTGCTAGAATTTGCAGCAAAAGATGTACGACGATGATATGGATGATGAGGATTAAGAACAATAAATCTATAATTTAATCCGTTATTTGATACCACTTCATAAATTTAAGGAAGAAAAAAGTAAAATTATGCAATGCATTACATTCTGTTGGCTTAATTTGGATTAAAAGTACCGAAACTTGTATACTTTGTTGCCCTTTCATTTCAATAATTTAAATAAACGACAAAAAATGTCAAATAATTGTTGTTTTTTAAAGTAAAATACATTAAAATTTTAGTTTTTGTATTTAAAATGTTATATTATTAAGTTAAATGTGATCTATTTACCGTATTCCAATTACTGCAGTACATTCAAGATAAATTGAAGCCAAAATAATTTAATAAATAATTTTTTATTAGAATTTTAATTATAATTAAAATCCCAACAAAAAACTTACATTCTGAGGTGATTAAGCAGAGCATTTTATTACGAAATTATTTTAAATCGTAGACGTCCTAGAGAAAAACGAATGACATTTTTGAAATCAGCGGCCCAAAATTAGTTAAACTAAGCTGGAGTAATCAATGTTAGAAAAAAAAAGTTTCTAAAATTATCAAAGTGTTATTTAAAGTAATGTTTTGGAATTAATTTAAATAATTATGTAATTAACCAACCAACATTTAACACTGGATTTAAAAAGTGCAAAGTTAAAAACTACTAGTGAAGCCTTACTGTATGAATAACAAGATTTTTTGAAATAAATATTCTTCTGTACAAAATGATATCAATTATACGATTTAACAAAATTTACCTATATACAAATGTTTTTTCAATATCTTCTTGTAGTGTTGTTGTAATATTTGTGGAACGCACCCTAAATACTAATGTTATACCCTTAGCGAAATAACTTGTGGACTCTTCTTTCTTTGGAGATTTTAGACGGTTCAATTTTTCAGGAAATTCTTTATTTTCTGGCGTTTGTGTGGTAAACAGTTCCACCACTTCTTTTGAGTTTACGTTATCAATAGCTTCATTAACGTTAGTATTTTTATCATCATCAGTTTTTTCAGGTAAATCATTATTAATACTTTCAACCCTTTTCAATAACGGATTTGGTACTATAAAATTATTGACAACAAAAGTATTGGTTGCATTCACCACCCATATATTACCATTTTCTCTTTTAGTAACAAATTTAGTAGACCGCAAATCATCTAAATATAAATAAATAAATGTTTACACAATCGCTTTATTTCTATTAAAAATAAAACAATTTCCTTACTTTTGCTGCAATATCCAGTTGATTCTTTTTGCTTTTGTGGCATTCCATACATTTCTTTATTTGTATTGCTTTCAGAGGTTTCTGTAAGACTTTGCTTACTTTTGAGAGATCCTTTACAATAAATATGGCAGTTGTTTGATCTTTTTATATAGAAATTTGCATTATCTAAAGTAGGTTTATATTTATTTTTATAGTTTCACAGTTTCAGACTACTAATACTTCTAAAACTACTACCCTATAAACTAGGGTGTCTGTTGGCCTTTTTTACTTTGGTATCGAGTAAATTATTTTTTACAAAATAAAAACCAAATGTTTAAATAAAGTTGTTAAAACACTGCCTAAATGATGATACTTTTTTTTTCAAAAATGTAAAAAAACTACATTATAGACTAGGCGGAGAAAGCACATATTAATTAATTTCTTGGGATTCTGTCACAAGGGTGAATCTCACGAAATGTCCCCCGATGGTGGTACCCCGTGATATTTAATAAAACTAAATGAGTTTGACCTACACTTTTAATGTGTTTTGATATTTCATAATTAAGTAGATATTGCAGCTCAGGTTTCAGATTTTTAACCGCAATTAATTATTTTTTACAATGTTTTAAAAGTCTAAAACCTATCCTCCGTGACTGTTACTCTTTCTAGGTTAACCTATATGTTTTCAAATATCTGAGGTAGTAAAAGCATACTAAAAATATCAGTTCACTAAGTAAATTAAACACATCAAAGCAATCGAATAAAATATAAAATATTATTAAAAATTTAAAGAAATAATTTTTATAACCATTTATGTAGGTGTTACGAAAATTAATTCTATCCTCCGTGAATCTGTTTTTGATTTAAATTTTATGAAACGGATAAATAAGAAAAAACCCCTGTTTACGACATTATAGATGCATGTGATTCCTGAAGGTAAGTTAGAATTTATATGCAGATGAGAGTGTTGCTGTTTTATAATTGAAAAGTTGCTATTTAAAAACCTATTCACCGTGAAATGTAATATCTTAGTAAGTAGATTTTTTTATAAATATTTTTTGTATGCACAATTGAATTTTTAAAAAAATATTAAGGTGTCAAAAGATACAATAACCTATTTCAAAATATATTATATAATCTAATAAATAAATATAATCATTTTCACTTGGGAGACATCTCAATATATTCACCCTTATGTATGAGGTAATAATAATTTGTCTTTTGAATTAGTGTTAATATAAAGACTTTCTGTACAAACTTATAATATGGAAATTATTATCCACTTATTATTATAAAAAAATTATACCTTCCTAAGTAAAATAACGGACACCTTTATATATACATACATGACATTCTTGTGCTTACCGTTTTCTGTTCCAGGTACTATTTCTTTTAAGCAGTTAAAAGATGCCTCTAAAATATTTTTTGTAGTTTTTAAAAATTATATTTTGGCATTTTGCTTACCCCTGTTTGGGTTGTTCAGGAAATTTTCCGGCAAATTTTGTTTGTTTGTATTACAATCTATAATAATTATTTATTTATTAGCAGAATTATAAAAAAATATATCTTACCTCTATAAATGCATAAAATCAAACGTTTAATAACATTGATGTTTTGATCTGTATCTGGTTTAGTTTTAATATCTAAATAATAAAATTTAATTAGAAATAACAACCTTTTTTGTATAACAAACCTGATCTATAACATTTATCAATTGTTGTGTGACAATCTGTTAATTTAAATTAATTATAAAATATGTTATAATTGTTGTATACAATATTACTTTTTTGAATTTCCGAAACGATTTTTCGTACCATCAATGGACTTTCTTTTGGAGTATATGGATCTTTCAAAATATAATTATAATAATGTATTAATTAATTTAATCTTCATTACCTTCTTCAATACCCTTTATTACTCCAATATTGTGACATGATTGAAATTTTCTTGTATCTACAAATCATTATAATTTATATGGAGTAATTTTTTCAGAAAACTTACCTGTCTTCAAGAAAACTTCATTTGTAACAACGGGCCTTTTTGAAGTACTGTCGAATTTTTTACAAGCACTGGTTCGTAATACAAAAGTACCAATTTCTTTAAGATCTTGTTTTTCTTTAATATCACTTTCTTCTCTAATAAAGTTCTCTTCCAACTTGATGTTTTCCATTCCCTTCATAATACTGGTTTCTTTTATATTAATATTTTCTGGCATAATATTTTCAATATTCTTGATATTGATTTTTTCCATTTTAAAAATGCTATCATTTTCTTTCAAACAACTGTCATCTTTAAATTTATACATGTTTTCTTTTTTTTTAGGGATTTCTTCTTTTATAGCTTCTTTTTTATTGCATTTGTTTTTAAGATTATGCATGTTTCTTTCTTCATCTAGTTTAATATTGCTGTCTTCTAGCTTAATACTGTTTTTTTTCTTTGTTATACTGCTTTCTTGTAATTTAGCAATGTTTTCTTCTTTTTTGGGAGTTTCTTCTTTTATTATGCCATTTTTTTCTAATTTGGGATTAACACTGTTTTCTTCCTTTTCAAGACAATCTAGTTTATACACACTTTGTTCTTCATTTTTAGTGGATTTATCTTCTATTTTACTGTGTTCGTCTGTTTTACATATACATGTTTCTTCTGTAATGTTTTCATTAATTTTAAGACCGTTGTCTTCTTTTTTAATTTTTTGTAAATTATCCTCTGTAATTTCAATTGTATTTTGATCTTTTAGTTTAATAACATCTGTTTCATTCTTAACATAGTTTTTTGCTTCTTTAATTGTGTTTTCTTCAACTTTTATATCACTGTTAATTGTCATTATTTCATTTTTGACTATGTTGTTATTTTCTTCTTTAATATTTTTTTCCAATTTAATGTTTTCTTCTTCAATAGGTTGTAAATTAAATTGAACTTGATTGTTTTCTTCAATTGGAGTATCTGTTACTTTTTGAGCATAGTTCTTGGCCTCTTTAATTTTGTTTTCTTCAACCATAATATTACTGGATTTAGTGTTTTTTTCATATTTGACGATGCTGTTATTTTCTTTAATATTGTTGTAAATGTTAGGTTCTCTTTTAGGGTCTAAAAACTAAATTAGATTAGATTCATGTACCTGAGTAAAAGTTAAGTTTTTTTTTAACAAAAAACTTAATTTTTATTCCGACAAAAATAAAGCTTTTACTATCGTGTTTCGCTTTCGAAAATTTGATATTGAAAGTGTTTTCTTCGGGGTCATTTAAAAGTATATTCAGCCTAGCATTTTTATTTTCAACTTCTGTGAACCATTTTCTGGCCGACGCCAAAGTGGGTACGCCATTGCTAAGTGGTTTGCGCATCTTCAATTTGTAACGATCATTTTTCGGTTTACATCCGATACACTCTTCTTTCTGGTTCTGATGATTAAAGATTTCGTCGTTCATGTTTTGTACTTGCGGACTTGTTAAGTATGGAAGAGGATTTTCTTCTTCTTCGTTTGCTTTCGAAGAAATAACTTCCACTGGTTCATTTGGTGGTATGGCATCGAGTTGTTTCTGATCTTGAATTGCCGAATCATGTTTGTACTCGTAGACTTTAGTTTCCTTGTTTGTTGGTTGTGGTTGTTGTGGTACCAGATTTTTTTTTAGTTCGTATTCTCCAAAACCGTTCCAGGTTTGGGGTTCAACTGGATGGATTGGATCGTTAAATTTTAAGAAACTTTCCTGTGGCTGCGTCTCTTTTTTAGTTTCAACGATGCCTGGATCTTTGATGGCCAAATCGGCATCACTTTTGTGTGTTTTTAACATTGCTTTCATAGCATTGTACTCATGTAAGAGACTATCCAACGTTTTTTGTATTCGATTGAACTCACTAAAGTATTGTTTTGACAGGGCATTGCTTTCTATATTCAATGATTCCACAGGGGTATTGCTCAATTTTAAAAATCGTTTTTTGTCATCCTTTTTATGAGCTAATCTTTGTATGTTTTCGATCAAATGCATTGAAGATACCCTCTTTACTCGACCATTAGAATATCTGCCCCTTCTGGAATATGTATATTCATTCGGTACAGTACCCAAATCTTTTTTAGTCGAAGGTGCCATGGACAATGACAGATCTTCACGTGGTTTTCTATTTTGACTCAACAATTTCATCCTCAACCCAGCCATATCATACTTATGCTTATTACGCCTTGTCACAATTTGCTTTGAAGCATTCTTCTTCAATTTAATTTCCTCCATACTCCTGGTCTTGTAGCTATTAATGCGCTTTACTGGCCATTTGTTAACTTTCTTCGAATGGACATTTTGAACTTGCCGTATGAAATCGAATTTCTTATTTCTGTTGTAATCCTTCCCGAAAAATTTTCCCAACTCGCTCTTCTTGGAACTGATGCATACCGACCTGAACAAATCATCGTCGGTCCCAGCGATGTTCAGAATCTTTGCTTTGTCGTTCAATAGGGTGAAACAATCTCTGTCGCTCAACTTTTGCCCGCCCCTTTTTTTCACGTTAAAGTAACGCTCCTTAGCCAAGGCCAGACTCTTGTCCTTGGTGTTTAAGAATTGTCGACACATGCCCAAGGTGTTTTTGTACGCGAACATAACATCGGGGTCCTGGAAGATTTTCTGCGGAAAGCAGCAGTTGGAGTTTTTTTCTGAAGAAGACACGACAGCTCGGTTGTCTTCTTCAATCGTCGCGTTCTTCTTTTTACCGGCGTGGAGAAGCAATTTCGCGTACTGCGACATATTTCGGCTCTTTCCCGGTTCCAAATTCACGCCGTTTAAAAGAAGGGTATGCAAATGTTTACTCATTTTGTGTGTTTTCTTTACTGCAAATTTATATTTGTTCTTTTACATAAAATTTAATGACATGATTAATGACAAAATGTCAGTATGTCAAACAATTATTTGTTGTTTATTGACAACAATGTTAATAAATTGTTTTACTTTTAATAATGAAAAAATAGAACTGTTGATCTTTATAGCATTCATTAGAAGTTAGAACTAAAGCGTAGGTAAATTTTCACTTTAGCGACTTTTCCGAATGCACATGCGCTTTGGTTTATCAGCTGATCTACTGTTAATCAATTAAAATAGGCAAAAGTGAGCGAAACCAACCCAAACTCAACAGCCCAACCCAACCGACCCCGCTCCAACCTCTCCTCCGCCCCATTGAGCAATAGAGGTATAGTATATGTAAGGGGAGATACATTTTATGAGCATTAAATAATTTATATTTATTAAATCACTCGATGTATCTTGGTAGTTTTCCAGAAAAACTCAAATTATCTGTAATGATCCCTGTGCCTAAATCAGGAGACCAACAAAATATTGAAAACTTCAGACCAATTTCACTTCTTAGCTCGATATCAAAAATATTGGAAAAACTTGCAATACTTGCAAACAGACTTTATGACTGATGAATTCAAGCTCATTTCTAAATGTCAATACGGATATCAAAAGCGACTTTCAACAGAGACAGTCACTACAGAATTCACACAACATATAAATAAAAAAATAGATGAAAGTAATATAGTATATAGTAGGAATATTTTTTACTTGTCTAGAGCATTCGATACTGTGTATCCAGATTTTTTGTCTAATAAACTTTATAACCTTGGTATACGGGGAAACATAAACAAATGGCTGCTATCGTATGTGTCCAATAGACAATTTTATATTCAGAGATATTTAATACGCACAGAGATATTTAATACATCTCAGGGCAGTACTCTGGGTCCCTTGTTATTTATATTGTTCATTAATGATCTCCCCAAATACATTAGTGTGGGAAAACTGTTTGTGTATGTTGATGATGTAACTATTGTTGTATATGGCAAGACTGAAAGTGAAATTGCTAATTTAATTCAAACTGTGATGACAGAATTTAGCAACTGGTGTTTTAAAAATAGATTAATAATTAATGTAAAAAAACTGGGTTGATCCAATTCTCCTATGGTAATCTTAAGAAAGAAATCCAAATCAATAATCAACTTTTTAACTTCTCGAATTTCTCCAAATTTTTGGGAATGATAATAGATAAATCCTATACATGGGATGAACAAATTGATTATATAGCTATGAAACTAAAAAAATCCATCTATCAATTATATAGCCTAAGGGACAAATTAAATATTTCAGCTCTTCTTAATGTGTATTTTGCAAACATTTATAGTATTTTAAGTTTTAATATTTTATCCTGGGGTCTTGCTAAAAATAGTAATAGAATTTTTATCTTGCAAAAATATGCCATTAGGGTTATTTTTAATCGGAAGAAACTAGATTCTTGTAGATGTTATTTTTAAAATTATGGAATTTTAACTTTTATAAGTGTCTATATACAGGGTGTTATGTAATTAATGTTATATATTAAAATAGGTTGTTCCTTAGGGTCCATAAAGAAGCACCTGAAACTTTTTTTTTCTAAATTCCAAAGTCGAAAAATAATTTATAATAACCTTTATCCTACCAAAAAGTACGCCACTGATCGACTAGGAACTTTAGGTTAATCTGGTGGATTTATTATGTTATGGTCCAAAATCTTTCAAAAAAGTTGCCAAGCATTGTTTAAATTTAGCTTAATTACAAAATAAAAACAATAAAATGGAACTAATGAATAAAAATAAGTGTCACTACAGCACCAGGGATACCATGGTTAACCATGGTATCCCATGGTTAACCATGGTATATGTGAAAAAGCAGCCACTAATAACTGTGGCAATTAGTCATTTTTGACTAATTCATTTTTAGAGAGTAGGGGCTTTAAAAATTGTTAGAAGATGATACAACATAATTGTTGTTTTAAGACTTTTAAAAATATTTTGTTCGACTGTGTTTACTAACCTTTCAAAAAGGAATGTCATACTTCAGGACACCAATGTTTTAAAGTAAAAATTAAACATCTATAGTAAATTTAAAAGGAAACGACGTACAGGATATCGATGACGTCATAATTTTGCGCACTGGTACCAATACTAAGTCTGTAATTGAATATTTTAATGCATTTAAACAACTTTAGTTGGCAGCAATTGCAATGTTGTCGTGTTTAGATTAAAATTGTGTGTAAAATGACGCATAGAAAAAGAAATTGACGTTTATGAATTTTGAAGCTGTCAGTTGTGTTTTTGAATATTTCGTTTAATTCTTGTATAATTTCGTATATATCGTTTTTTTGTTTTTCCTACATTAAAATAGTCGGAGTTGGTATCATCCTTAATACGCTATTTTGAAGCAGAACGGGATAATAATGGACCTTTGTTACCTTTAACAGCTGTTAGAGAGGTAAATAGGATTATTATTAATTAGAATATTTAACAAAATATATGTTGGATACATAAAATAAGAATATATATACCAGAGACTGACTTTAGATGGCAACATTTCTGGGTTTTATAGCTGAAAATGTCTTTAAAAATGGCTAAAAACATATTATAAAACTCTGACTTTTGACATTTTGGTATTCTAAGGTTCCAAATCTAGGGACGCTATGGTATTATTCATGTAAACGCCATCTTTCACTTGATGCAATGATTTTAGCATCACATTGACAACCGTGTCCGATCAGCTGATTGATGACGTGTACGTCGTTTCCATTTAAATTTACTATACACGTCATCGATGACGTCCTAATTTTGCGCACTGGTACTAATACTAAATGTATAAAACGAAGTCTTTCATTGAATATTTTAACGCATTTTAAACAACTTTAGTTGGCAGCAATTGCAATGTTGTCATGTTTAGATTAAAATTTTGTTTAATAAAATGACGCATAGAAAAAGAAATTGACGTTTATGAATTTTGAAGCTGTCAGTTGTGTTTTTGAATATTTCGTTTAATTCTTGTATAATTTCGTTTATTTTGTTTGTTGTTTGTGTTATTTTATATCTTATAAGTTTCCTTTTAAATTTACTTTATTGGGATCGGCTATCGTTTTTTATTCTTATCTCGCTTATCCTTTGCGTTACATAATTTTAATTTTCAAGAGTGTGTTCTTAAATTTACAAAACATCAAAGGGTTCGTTTTATCCGAAATGAGCGTATCAGATAAAATCGTCCAAGAATATTTCCTTCCGAACAAAGAAGCTTACGTAGATTGCCCTTGAATATATTGCGACAAGTTAACTTTAATAAAAGAAAAATGTAACAGACCGCCCATCTATTTTTATTAAATTCACTTGAGCGGTCATAAAACTGTCGGGGGCCAATAAAAGTATTAAGGAATGCGGTCATTTCCTAAATTACACGCACTTAATATAATTGAGTCGTATGGTATCAAATGTATGCTGCTGTTCTAATATACTGTAGATCATCTACATTTTGAGTTAAACCAAGGAATTAAACGAAAGGTATGTTAATACTCACTTTGCTCAGGATTTCTTTAAAATCGTTAAAATTGCTAAAACCTGTACATTAGGGTGGGCCGAAAATCCGCTTTTTTAGAATTTCGTTTAGTAATAGCAAAAATTTTGTTCATTATGTTGTAAAAAAATTTTGTGTAAAAGATTAAAATTTTCGATCAACATCCTAGGCTCGCCCAACGCAATTAAAGATCAGAATTATTAAATTATTTACTGTCGAAAATGCCACTTTTTGAAAAAAAATCGCAATTATCTTGATAGTTATCAATCGCTAAAAATCTTACCAAGAGATGTTTTTGTAGGAAATATAATTTTCCAAACAACCAAGAGTTTCTGAATAGTTTTTTATCGATAAACATTATAATGTTAAATATATTCAAATGGCTAAAAATTACAATTTTGATACTAAAATCGGGTTTATTTCTGAAACTATCCATCTGACGTAATTTTGTGTAAGGACCTTTTTTGTAGAGCATAAAATTTCCAATCGAAATTTATTTATAACTTATAAGTTAATAAATTTATTTATAACTTATAAGTTAATAAAAAATGTTTGTGAACATTTTGATCTTTAATTGCGTTGGGCGAGCCTAGGAGGTTGATCGAAAATTTTAATTTTTTACACAAAATGTTTTTACAACATAATGAACAAAATTTTTGCTATTACTAAACGAAATTCTAAAAAAGCGGATTTTCGGCCCACCCTAATGTACATATATAATCATTAGAGATGAGATTTTAGTGTTATTACCTATTTGCCTATTACCTATTACCTATTACCTACGCTAATCATAATTTTAGGTGTAATGGAATATAAACCGTTTTGAAGAAAATGATATCATTTGAGCCTAATTTTATTTTACCTATTTTACCTAAATTTTCATTTTTAAGAGAAATGGACCTAATTTTTAATTTTACTACCTAAACTAGTGTAATTTTACCTATTTCATCTAAATTCTTATTTTTAACACAATTTTTTTTTTAACAGATTTTTTTTTTTGTAATAATGGGGTTGTCGTATTCGGATGACATAATTCTTATGCACAATGTAGTTATTTATTTTGTACAGGATTGGTAATATAGGTTGGTACTACGGTTTTAAAATTTCCGAAAAACTTGATCCGGAGCGGCGATAAAAAACCCGTTTTTTTTTCAAAAAAAAAAACGGAAAAATTGTTAATTTTTCAGAAAAGTTGACTTTTGCATATTTTTTATTTTATTCCAAGGGTAATAAGAAAATTTGCAAAAGTCAATTTTTCTGAAAATTTTTACGGATACTATCCGTACACTGATATCGAGAAAAAAGTGAATTTTCGACCCTGAATATAATCCTATTATTATGATTATAATAATTATTCCTCTTATTTTAATCCAGTATACTATACTATACTATATATATACTATAGAAATATTCTACCGGGTCGCAAAAAAACTTATTCGGTGCTGAATAAACATAACTTTCGATTTATTTGACACTTCGATTTATAAAATTATAATTTTGTAATTTAACTTTATAAATCATGCATTGTTTTGTATTTTCAATGG